ATGAGTTTGGCTGGTATATCCCAAAGGCGTCCCCTGTCTTGTCAGTGGCATGCCTACTCACCAACAACCCTACCCCCCATTTACTAAAATAACAAGTTCAGTTGGTCAGATAAAAATTAAAGAGAAGCAGAAAATTTATGAAAATGATTAATTTGTACAAAACATACCAAAATCCGAACCATTTTATAACTTTTTTCTTGTCAGCTATATTGCTGACAAGGATGTGTATAATTGTGCGATAATTTTAATCTATAGAACAGGGGAACTGATTAGGCAAAAACCCAATCCAATCCTTACCCAAAATCATAAATTGGTTAGTATCAGAGAAACAGAGTATTTAGGAAAATGATTATACAAAACAAACACTATTTTACAACTTCCCTCATAACATCAGAGTCCAAATGCAATTTCAGGGCCACCAACCCTGCTCTGAATTGTGACCTCCTGTGCTTGAAATGAGCTGCAGATTCTCGTTGCTTTGATGGATCTGGATTTTTATGTGCACCTAATATTACAATTCATCAGCAGAGTTGCGACTTGGTCACAGAGCCATCCTTGCCATAGAGGCAGGGTCGTTGCAAGTAACTTTTCATCCAACATGTCAGCAGCCATCTCTGGTCCGGGAAGGTTAGTGAAAGCGTCATTGATGATTGATGCAATCTTGGTAAAACTCAGGGCCACGTCCCCCCCCTGAAAATTCAGTTGCATCATTGTATCATCGGGGCACACTAGTCAGATTAGCCTTGTGTACACGAGGAAGATGAGAGAATGACTGTAAGTGTTCAAGGCAGCGTGCATGCTTCAATGCCTGCTATTTCCTGTAATCAAACATCGCATATTCGAATTGTTTCTTTTTCAACGGTGTGCTGCCTTGACATCTTGTGATTATAATATTATAATTATATATTAATATTGATTACAAAAAGCAGAATATTATCAATATTATCAATGAAAATCTTGTAATTATACCAGCAATGATCTGCTCCGCATTTTGATTTCCAATTAAAATGTTTATAATAACCAAAATAAAAATATCAATCAATACAAGTAAAAAATAGTACCTCTGGTTAGTTATTAACACGTTTTCTTTAGGAGACCAAAACCAAGCCAAACAACAACACTCACGTTTTGTCACCTTGGACTCTGTCAAAAAATAAATTGTTTTTTCCAAGAAAAAAAAAATCAATTCACGTCTGTCCTACCAAAAAAAAAACCAATAGGATAAATAATTAGTGTACGCGTCTAGTGATGGGAATTTTTAACCATACACTTAATAATTCCAAGTTATTAATTAGTTATTAACCACTTATTAACTATCTCATTCTGAGCAAGAGTTATTAACCCAAGGAAAACCTATATACAGACCAAGTCTTTCCTAATTTGGAAGCCCTATTGTTATTTTTGTAAAAAATTTATTGCCCATAAAAGTTCTTCAGTTTTGTGTTTTTTAACACTTAATAAGTCACTAATAGGGTTATTAATTACTTAATAACTTGATCATTTTAAAGATAAATTTTTATGCCTATCACTAGAAAAGATGAGGTTCCCAAGTTAACAGAAAATTTTAATTTTGAGTTAATTGAGAAATCATTAAAAGATGGTATCCAACAATTCTAGGACAATGTATTAATTTTATAAAATTTTTATTGAATTATTAATTTTGATGTATTTTAATCAATTTTAAAATTTTTGATTGAATTATGTAATTAATAATTATTGGTTTTTTTTGTATATATAAGTAAATCAATTAGTATTATTTTTTATATATATATTAATAATTTTTGTTGCCCATAAAGATCTGCAAGTTTTTGTTTTTTAACAGTTAATAAGTCACTAATAGAGTTATTAAGTACTTAATAACTTGGTTATTTATCAAAATAATTTCTATGCCCATCACTAATCTGGATCATCAAGTATGTAAAACCTCTGCCTAAATCTAAACAGGAATTAATAAATGTAATACAAGAGGAATGGGGGAAAGTCAGCATAGAAATGCTACATCATTTAATTTTAAGCTTACCAGATCATGTCAAAGCAGTAATTAAGGCTAAATGTGGACATACTAAATATTAGCCTGTTCATTTTAAAAATTTTAAATATTAAACATCACATTTAGGGTTTTATTTCGAAAACTTGTTTTTGTCAAATAATAAATATAAAAAATTTTTTACATATATACAAAAAACTGAATTTTATATATAATTCTATAAATAGTAAAAAAAATCCAGTAAATTATTGTAGGCCAGTGTATATTCGACATGTAGCACTGTTAATTCTTTCCTGTAACAATCCTTAAATCTTGAGGCTCTTACTAATTTTGTTTCAGTGATATAGAATCAAAAGCATTGGGGACATTCTCTTGAGGACTTTTCCATGTGTAATTGAAATGTTGTCTAACATATCATTTAGCAGCCCCCAAATACATTCAATGTAGTTAAGCTCACAGTGAAACTTTGGATAGAAGATGATCTTATGACCCCTTGCTTCAATTAATTCTTGAAGTAAGGGTTTTTGGTTTTTAAAATCATCTTGGGTTGCTAAGATATGTCTAGCACAACAA